AATTAAGAGTTTATTGAGGCAAATATTGGGTCCCACTTTATATTAAGTGACCCTAATACCTGTGTTCTTACATATGGAGCTTATAATATGACAATACTATTTGAATTTGAATTGTGTAAATTTGAATTATTGACAAGTGTCATTTAACAAAACTGAATTTTATGTGGCATTTAACATAGTTCTGAATTTGATTTTTTAAACTTGAATATTTAACATTTGAAATTTAACAAAACTGAATTTTTTATGGCAGTTTTTTTTAATAGACATGTATTTTCAAACAGCTGACTTTTTGTTCTGAATTGTTAGACTGCAAATATCCAGTTTTTAAAAATACAGTTTTCAAGATGAAGAAATTCGGAACATCAAATTCAATATTCAAAATTCAATACGCAGAAATTCAGTTCGTACAGAAAGTAGGTCAGAGGTTATCCACAGGGAAGAGTAGATGATCTCCGAAAAGTCGAACGAAGCATTTACGTTGACCGGAGTGGACATGTTCAATTCACTTAGGCTAGTTTTGTCATGGCCACAACATATTAACTCGTGGAAACGTGGCCACGAGATCATTTTGTGGAGATAATTGTATGGAGATGATGACATCCTGGAATCGCGGCTGCCGCTTTCTCTCGTAGTAGAAGTGTTTTGTTTGGTCTCGGGGCAGACATTGCGATAGTTACAATTAATAATCTGCCCGGTAATAGGTTAAAGTCGATAAAAAGACAAGATAAAAAGATAAAACATGTTTTTATCTCTGGCGGTGCCTGCCGCGAAGTGTAAGTTCTCTGCCTCTGCACGGACAGCCTACTTTCCTGCTATTCACAATTTGAATAGAAGTTTTAATAAACAAGTTTTGTCTACCTCATGTAGGAGCATACGTGTGTGGTTCAAGTCGGTTACGGAATTATAGTGTTGCTGTCAGATAACGGGTCGAGTGGTCTGTCAATTACTGCGGGTGCGGGTTTATCAGACAGGACCCGTGCAGGACTCTGCCACGACTTCTTATGTTGAGGGAACAACATTTTTTTTCCTGTGGCCACGAGTTTAATGTGTAAACAACCTGCGTGATGATCATATAACCTGGGATTATCAGAGATGGATAAAACATTTTTGTCCATCCCACAGTCTTGTAAATCCGTTAACTGATCGTCTTTTTCCGTAATATTTGTATATTATTATTATTGTTGTTATTATTATTGGTTATATTTTTATATTTGTTTGTATTTGAGTTATTTTCCCTTCATTCGATCTCTTTACATAACGTTCTGAATAGTTTTGCCGACATGCCAATAAATCTTTGATTATGCTATGATTTACGGGAATTTTTACTGGAAGCGCAGATTTTAAAGGTTGAATTTATTTCGGCTAATTAATAGACTATTGTAAATAGCCCTATATATAAATCCGCGTAGTTTCATTTGTAAATAAAAACATTTATTTATCATCACATACCGGTGTAAATACAAGTCAAAACTTTATTGGCGTAATTGTCAGGCGTTAACAGTATTTGCAAAATATGGTAGCACTACCATATTCGATTCCAATGATGTCATCATCTCCATACGATTATCTCCACAAAATGATCTCGTGGCCACGTTTCCACGAGTTAATATGTTGTGGCCATGACAAAACTAGCCTAAGTGAATTGAACATGTCCACTCCGGTCACCGTAAATGCTTCGTTCGACTTTTCAGAGATCATCTACTCTTCCCTGTGGATAACCTCTGACCTACTTTCTGTACGTACTGAATTTCTGCGTATTGAATTTTGAATATTGAATTTGATGTTCCGAATTTCTTCTTCATCTTGAAAACTTGAAGCTTTATTTTTAAAAACTGGATATTTGCAGTCTAACAATTCAGAACAAAAAGTCCGCTGTTTGAAAATACATGTCTATTAAAAAAACTGCCATAAAACATTCAATTGTATTAAATTTCAAATGTTAAATATTCAAGTTACAAAAAATCTAATTCAGAACTATGTTAAATGCCACATAAAATTCAGTTTTGTTAAAAGTTAAGGCCACTTAATATAAAGTGGGGCCGGTTTAGGGATATGTAAAGTGGGAGGAGTTGGATCTCGAGTTGGTGGAGCAACACTTTTTTCCACTTCACTAAGTACTTGTGTAACAGGAATTATATAACTACATATTGTAACAACAATATGTATAAGAGTAATTGGAACCATTTGATCCAGGGGGTGGAGATTTACCTGACTGTTGACATCGACATCGCGATACTTACGAGACATCATCGATATACGATAATATCGTCATATCGCCCAGCCCTAAGCCTAACTTACTGGCCGCTGCTGTGTAACATCAGAGTAATTACGTGGTAAATCTAATATAAAGTGTACCACTTTCTTTACCAAAAAGTGCTGTTAGTCCTATTACACATTTGTACTTTCATTACCAAAAAGTGTTGTTACCAATGTCCTGTTACACATTTGTACTTACACACACCATTCAGTGGGTTGTTACATATGTGTAGTTACACAAACATTAGAGCTGTAGACACTATGTACCAATGTGTACTTACACTGTGGTTACATACTACGTACACATCTAGTTACTACGTAAGCACACAGGTATTAGGGCCACTTAATATAAAGTGGGACCAAAAGTTGTAGTTAATTGTTAGTTAATAGTGAGAACTGACCCTCAAGCTAAAGTGTAACCTAATATATTTATTAATTAACCCCATAAAAAAAATTCAACTTTTTAAATCTAGGTTAATTTTAACTTAAACTTGACATTGTAATGTATAGGTAGAATTTAATTATAATGAACTTTTGGATTTATTTTAACTATTAACTAGTTGCTTATTGGCATGCATATTACTAGCATATTGGTTGTTTATTAGTACTTATAAAGCACATATTAATGTCTTATTCTGCATGATCATATTTAGATCCCTTAATCCTGTCCCCATACCTAAACTTAACAACTACCTTAACTAACTATTAATAAGCAGCAAATTAGGAGTTTCTACGGCAAAAGCCGTAGGTAATAGTTAGTTAATAGTAAGAATTGGTCCCTAAACTAAAGTGTCACTACACTTTTAACTAATTTTTACATTATATCCATACTTTTGAACAAAGACTAATACATGCTATTGTTGTCCTTAAATGTTCATGATAACTAATGCATTAACTAACACCATCAAATTGAACTGTAAAGTGTTACCAGGAAATCGAACGCAACTGCAGGCAGAAATGGTCACAAAGTTTCAGTTATTTTGTGACTGCAGAGGTGAAGAAGGTAAGTGCACTGAAGGATTGAAATGATGGAAGGGCTGCAGTGGAGGAGGAGGAGGAGGAGGAGGAGGAGGAGGGTCATCAGTGATGTTTATAGCACAGTCTCCACAAGCACTTAGGCTGATACATTACGCTAATTAAAACCAAAGGTGGTGAGGCAGAGAGCGGGGGAGAACCGCTGGATTTTAATGCATGAATTAAAACAAGCCACCCTCGTCTGATGTTGGGTGTTGGTCACAGGCTAAGTACAGAGCAAGATAAAGGGCCCCAAGCACTCGCGGCAGGGCTCCGTGACCTGCCCAAGACATTGTATAAATTAGCACGGCAGCATACGAGGTCCTCGCTGGAAAATGCGAGCGAATGTGCTCCAATTAAAGCTTTGAAAAGATTATACAGCAACCGCACAAAGCTCCCCTGATGACACTCCAGAATGGCAGAGAACAGAAGTGGCGGTGGCTTCTTATTAAGCAAGATGCCTGCTCATTTGGTGTTCTGATATTAAAGGAGATTTGAATATGTCTGAATGCCAAACAAGGCTTTATTAAAGCAGTGAGGGGCGGCTGGAAGACTGAACTGAGGCTAATTTGCCGATGGTGTGTAACCTTCATGGAGACTCGAATCATCAATATGAGGCTAAACTCAGCCAGACTTTAACTCTTCATGAGCAGAATGATCCTGAGCAACAAGGAGGAATTTCACATAAATGTCACTTGCGTAATTAGAGCAAGGGTCCAAAGGTTAGAGCTTTTTTCTGTACACAGATGCAAAGGGTATGATGATGAATGATACTGTCATATTTAGACAATTATGTAAAGATACAAGTTTGTATGTTGTGTAGCCTATAAATTAATTTCTTCAATGTGTTTCTTGAGCCAAAACAAGTGTGATAATTTCTAGGGTTTCAAATCAGAATATACGACTTTGTACGACCATCTTCAATGGGTCTTCATTCATAATGATGATACAATGAAAATTCAGCTAAAATGAAAAAAAAAAAAAAACAACAAAAAACAACAAAAAACTCAAGATGGTTTTACATGGTTTATACGTGGTTTATAGATGGTTCTATGTGGGTTTTAGTGTTGATTAGCTGGAAGACCATCTTGGTCAAGTTTATTAGATGTTAGAATTAAAAAGACCAGTGTTATTTTAGTATCAGTTGTACTGATATACTATAGTTTTTGTTCAAGTTTTAAAATACATTTTATTTATTAAATATTTATTATTTAGTTTTTGTTTTCACTTTAATTTTAATTAATTTTAAGTAATTTTGTTTTGTTGTGTGTTTGTATTTTTTTAATGTCTATATAGTATTTGTTAATATAGTATTTTATTATATATTGTATTTTATTTATTTTAGTTTATGTAGTTTTAGTTATTTTAATACTTAAACTAAACAAAAAAAGAGAGAATTTTTGGCAACTATGAATTAAAACAAGTTTAATTTATTTACTTTGTTTTATTTCAAGTATTTATTTTGTTTAATGGTTTAATTTTCATTTTAGTTAATGATAATAAACCTGCCTTGCACAAGAAACAAACCACTACAATAAGTTCTAAAAATTTGCTTGAGAACCTCAAGGAGTCTTCAGTCTGGTTAAACATTCATTCATAACTTAAGACTGTCATAAAAAAGTTCTGAGTGAAGAATATACCAGAGGATTTAACAAAATACCATCAAGAAAGCAAGACGGCATGTCATTTATTGTAGAAGATATGAAAAACAATGAAGCAATCAACTATACCTGCTTAAGAGCTGAGAGAGTCTGCAGGCCAGTTGCCTTGGCAACCATGGTATGGCTGTTGCCAGGGCTTGGTTGAAGAATAAGTGCCAGTCCCGAGATGGCATGAACACGTAGCTCCACTATGGACACTTTATCGTCTACCACAGAGAACTGTGTTTCACCCAGCACCGCCTCCACTGCCAGTGGAGATTCAACCTGAAACCAATAAAACATGATGCCTTTTTACAGTAAGAAAGACAGCCTAAATGGAATAAAGCATGGGGAGGAGTGAAGACACAAAGAGAAACATTTAGTGGATAATCCCACATATTCAAGACACAGACCACTGAGTAAAGGAAGGATGGGAAAATACACCTTTTCTCCAGAGGACCGCCAGCACTCGGCTTCCACATAAATCCTCCATCTGACACTTCAAACCCATTATGTCACAGTTTCTTCACCTCCCACCACCGTTAAAGGTCACCAGGGACTTACCAAGTGAAAAGTCAAGTGGGGAGGCACGACTAGGAGGGTCAGATATTCTCTTTTTTTTTCTGTGTGTCTTTGCTGAACCATGAGACCCTGGCAATCCCAAGAGCCACAAAGCACCATGTTAGATAAAACAAGCTGCAATATAGGGATGGTTTTTCACTTTTCATAATTCAGGAAGATTTGCATTTTGCAAGACAAGAACAAGTCAGCCTACGTGGAGTGTTTTTTGCCTCAAGAAAGACATAATCAGAGGGAGAAGTACATAGAGCTTGGATGAATTTTAAAACAGACTGAACCATTGCCAGGAGCCAACTCTACAGCCTCTCCATGACAAACAGAAGTTTAAAGAATTATGACTAGTAAAGAACACTAAAAGATGTTGACAGAAACTGAAGTTCGTTTTGCTTTGACACCATCCGTATATGTCAAAATTATAGTTCATTATCTTTCTTTTCAATTACAGCTATTCCAAACAAAGAACAAAAATATTACCTTCATATAATTGGCTTAATCTCAGCAGAGCTAGTTACACTTAACCACACAGGAGGGAGCAAAGCTCATTTTTCTCTTGATAATTTAGCCCAATAAAGTCCATAATGACTTTTAATGGTGTTCAGAAATCTCCAAGCTCCGCAGCAAACATTTTCATCCAACCTGCTATTACTTGCCTCTTCAAAATTACCCATCTCCAGCTAAAAGCCCTCAACGCTGATGTAGGTTTACGAACTAGCCATGCTGTTGATTATACTTCGCCTGTATAAAGCCATTCTCAGCCATCTTTTGGCATAATAATCCCATCCAACCATTTTGCAGTTTTCTCTCGCTGAAGCACACAGTGAGGTGGGCGCCAGGGAGCTGAACCCAGGCTTTTCCTGATCCAGCCTAGACTTGCGACCCATATGTCCCAGATGCACATTGTTTGTGTCCCAATGCACTAATGTTTTGGAGCAGGCTGTTACAGTTCATTGACCATCCAGTCCTATACAATCCCATCTCCTTTCCTCCGGCTGGAAAGGGGATGTAGACCAGGGGGAAAACCAGATGAATGTATAATTGAACTGAACTGTTTTGTTCCTGTTTTTTTATTTCCTGCGTTCAAGGCAGGCTTCAAAGATAAAGCACATTTGAAGGAAAGAAAAGGAATAACAGATAGAAAAAGGGGAACTAAAAACAAATTCTTTCCAGAATGGCTCGTTTGTTTGGTATCCAGGCGGTTGCAATTAGTTTTATTATACTTGCTGATATACCAGCTTTTGATTTTTGCATTATAACCAGAGCTTTGGATGCTTGAATAGAATGTGTTCAAAGGCTAAAAAGGGTCTGCCTATTCCCCCAAAACCTAATTACTGTACTTGGTAGACCTGGAAAGCCAATTAAGTCATAGGAAATACGTACATGGACTCACGATGCTAAGAACGGGTCAAGAATACCTTCTGCTGTTCATAAGATCCTCAAAACAATGTATCGTGAGAGATGTTCAAAGCTTAAAGGTTGTGCGTCTTTGTGCTTAGGTCATAGTGACGGGTGGAGGATGTACGCTGTGGCAGATGAAGATCAAAGACAACATTATTCATACCTTTCTTTTTGTCTTTGCTTTTTATTTTTTTTGTAAGGGTGAAATTATGCTCTGTGCTCAGTTTCGTTTATTTTCAGCTCACATTCAGTGAAAACATTCCAATTCTACATTGGCCATTAGTTATTAATGACCTTTGCCGTTTCGCCTAGTTTAATTACCAAACTTTTTTTTTTATGCTCAAATTTGTTTATGGAGAAAAACAGACACTTTCTGAAGCCAAACAACAGACAACACTTTTGGAGAGGTGTGATCAAGCTGTCAAAACTCCCTCTGTTTGGACACAATGAACTGATGTGTGCTGATTCAATGGAGAGAAAACTTTCAAGGATGATTCCCCCAATTTAACACCATTGAAGTTTTATACCACACAGATAATTCTCTTTCCAAACATCCCAGTTTCTGAATAGCCTACTGGGACTAAATATGCATATGAGTAGCTTTCTAAAGAGACATTAAAGGATAAAGAAAAGCAGCAGAGCTAACTTGATCAATTAAAAGAAATTTTAAATATTTTTATATTTTTAAATTTAAATTTGTATTATTGATTTTATCTGTAAACTAAATTTATATAATTAGGAATCTGTCTATTTAAAAACAGTTAGCTATGTTGACTCTGGACTAAGAGCAATTGTTGTCACAAAATAAAAGAGAAAGGATGAGATGAGCAGAAATTATCAGTCTTCAAACCCATTTATAGTTCCAGCAAACAAAACAAAACAAAAACCAAAAGAAAAAATAAATAAAACACAAAAATGAAATAAAACAAGTCCCCCTGCCAGTGTACAAAGCATAACACCAGAGAAGTCAGTGAAAGTAAAGTTTGTACTTGAATACATGAGACTGTAAAAGGGATTGAATAATTGTCCCTAAGACACTTTGCATTACGTTTTGACAGGTATAAAACCATGAGTAAGGACCAGTGTCCAGTAATATTGGATGAAGAGAATGTAATATAGCAAAATTTAATTGTAGGTTATATAGTTGCATTGTTATATGGTATTGAGAGCTCACCAAAACACATTTTTCATCCATACACCTATCCCCCCATTAATCCATCAATCTTGTATTTATATGATCTGTTCTTATTTGTATTCTACCTTCAGAGTGGATGATCCAAGCTCGTTGGCCACGAGTACCGTCCTGTCCACCAGTTCAGCCACCCTGGCATCCACCACCTTCAGAGAGTCTTGCACCAGTTCTGTCACATCCACTTGCCAGTCAGGACCCAGCATAGTGATCATCTGGTTTGTGCCTTCACTAGAGGTTGTGTGGAACTGGGTCAGAACCTTAACCTGGGCTCTCTGGTACTGCAGTGTACATCCTCTGCTCACTTTACGGTCATCTTCATCATCATCATCGCTGTCTCTGGCCGTTCTGAGGAGATGGGTGAGAGGTCATTATGAGTTACTATAGATAAGAAATTCACACTAGAATTTATGTTCAGTTAACTTCCATTCATAAGAATGATCATGTGGAAGAACAGGCACACCAGCATGTGCTAAGAATTTTTGTCTTTCACTGTTTAAGTTTGCATTCAAGTTTAGTGAACTTTAAATGGTAACTTATATAGTGAAATTTGCCTTTTAGGAAAAACAGAAATAATCCTATGTGAAACCACTTTTTTTTGTGTGTAAACATGTATAATAGAGAATTCAAAGTTCAGTTTAGAAGGCGACGTGCACATGTGTAAAAAAAATACTGTTCTGTAGAACACTTTAACATAAGTTTGTAAATGATTAGATTGCTGAAAAGAAAAGTTGTTTCAGAGGTGGAGCAAGTTATTACATTTTAATGAAAGATGATAAGGAAACCATTTTTCCCCCTTTGGAATAAGGTGGAGTAAGCAATATAAAGGATGAGATGATCAAAAATCATCAGTCTTGAACCTGGCCAAAATATTATGGCATAAAGTAAAGCAAAGCAAAGCACAAAACAAAACAAAACAAAACAAAACAAAACAAAACAAAAAAACAAAATCAAATCAAATCAAAGCACAACGCACAAAGCAAAGCAAAGCAAAGCAAAGCAAAGCAAAACAAAACAAACAAAACAAACAAACAAAAAAATCAAAATAAAAACACAAAGCACATTTAAAAAAGCTATAAATGTTTTTGTTTGTTTTTTAAATTAGGTGTTGGTGTACATTTTCTATAGATCTATAGCGAGTTATTCATCCAATGGTCTCCAAACGATGCATAAGACACTGCACAGATAAGATGATGCTATAAAGTGTACTTTACCGGCTTCCAAGACTGAAAATGTGTTTAGCACAGATTTTTTTGCCATGTTTGTCTCATTACCTAATTAATTTGCATTTCATAAGTGCACTGAGTGTTAAAATAATAGACAATGCATGCTGAACAACGTTCCATTTTTTGTGAATTCCCCCCACAAAGTTTGTTAGAAATTCCAGCATTAGAAAGTGCATCATCTGGAGACCTGTTTCAAGGAGGTTTTGCATCAGTGACTCTTGCATGCCTCACACATACCATCACATTCAATCTATCTCATCTGCTCCCTCAGCAGCATGACACCATGTGAAGTAAGTGAGAGGAAGCAGGGTAAGGGCTGGGTGGATCTTCAAAGCTGAATGCCACTTCACCCATTCTACACACACAACTAATTAATCAGATAACTGGAGTTGTAGAGACAGCTGTCTGCCTCTGACTGACAAAGCATGTCCTGCCCATCGATTAGCCTAAATTGAGCTGCATGTAAAACATTGCGTTATCATGTAAGGAGACACACTGCTACTTCTCAGCAACGACGAAAGATTGACAGGCACACAAATGCAGAAGGAGAAGCCTCATGAAAGTAGAAAGCAATTGTTGATCAGCACTTTGCTCTCTTCTGAGTTAAACACAGGCTCCTGTTGCCATGGAGGTGAAAAACAAGAGGCTCTTGCATCAGTTGAAGAGTGCTGAACCTGGCAGGTAGAAGCACTCTGTGTTCTTGAAGACAGTTGCACTCTCTTGTCTCCTCATACAGGTTAATATGAGTTTCAGAGCAGAAGAACACGCCTCAAAAGTGGAGCTTTGCTTGAACTCATTATAATGTCGGGAGAACTGGAGATTTCATGCACGGGTACCCGCTCATCCAATAAAAATCAGTGTCCAGTTTTGCAGACACATCGTTTCACCAGTTTAGTGAGCTATATCGATCAATCTGTGTAGAAGGCCAATGCAAGAAACCTGCCCACTGACACGTCTCAACATTGGGCAATGTAGTGGAATGAAATGGACAGAGCAGAGGAGGAAAGAACTAAAGGAAGGGAAGAGGGAAAGGAAATAAGAATAAGGGATTGTTCAAACAGGCAGCAGATTCTGTGGTGTATTCGAATCTGGTTAGTTGTTTGATCATAATCAAACATATGAAAATAAGTTTCAGTGTGAATGGTTAAATCATATTTCAAAATAAAATGTAAGTAACGTCAAGACACAAAACAGAGCTGAACTGCTGTGTCTGAATTCGCTCCTTTCTGCTTACATGCTTACATGTGAAATTCACTATGAATAAGTGAACAAATGAGTGGTTTTATACACAGAATATGCATGAATGTGTAAACAGTACAGAAATGCCTTTGATGCTTGTGTTGCCTCACGCAGTTTCCTTTCTTTTCTCCTTTCCCCACAGATCCATCAGTAAGGCTTCAATGGCCTTTATCCACACAAACAAGAAATGTGTTTCTTTAACTCATAGTATACTGGATATTTCTTAGCATTCTCATTAAAGTCGGCATGAAATTAAAACTGACCTAGCTTATTTTATAAATACTACCTTTCAAAAGTTGGAGTTTTTTTCTTTTATTGTTGTTGTAGAGAAATCAATACTTTTATTCAGCAATTAATTGCGAGACAGTAAATATTTATAATGTTCAAGATTTTTTGAAAATCTAAAAAAACCCAGAAAGTTTTGTGTGAGGGGTAGGTTTAGGTAGAAGATACAGTTTGTACAGGATAAATAACATTATGCCTATGGATAATTCCCGTAAACCACATATACCAACATGTGTGTGTGTTTTACACAATTTCCGTTTCATGTTCACTTTAATTTTATTAGGGTCTCTTAAAAACAAATGATATTGTAGGTGAAAAAACAGACTAGTCTGCTATTAGTGTCATCCACACAAATGTATAAGCTTGCAGAGATTACACACTTTATTTTCTGAACATTTTTCTTTTAAAGTTATTCAATTTAAAAAGGAACTGAAAGAAATCAGGAGATTAATCAGGATTAGCTGGTACCTTGTTAAGTCTTATGAACCATAGCTCAGCACTGTGATATCAGGATGAATATGAACAGAGACCAAATGTTCAGTTTTGCCAGCTTCTCTTTCCCTCCATAATGACAGCTATTGTCTTATGTCTTTTGGTGTCATGCTGACTCTTAAGTCATTACTACAGTAACCAGATACATTTACCAGATCTGATTTCTTCACTTGCAAAATGCCAGTGCAGACACTGAGATAAAGATTGGAACTGGAAAACAAATCAGATTTTGAGCTGATCACACAGAGATTGTATGTGTGAACAAAGCCTTGGAGATCTCGGGTCCTGGGAGGAAGCTAAATCTAAGGCACTCAAATTGAGGTCAAATGCAAATGTAACAGCATGCTTGTATTGTGTGTGTGTTGTCCATATAAAACAGGGAAAAACGCTGAAATATCACAGCACTGAGAGACTTTGCATACATCTATATTTAATCTAGCGAGCTAAATGCATCCTAGCAGCTACCCACATGTGCACACAAACTGTATAGTTGACGAGAATAAATGATTTTTTAAATAAATTATTTTTATTTGTTCTGATATTTTTAAATGTTCCAATTTTGCTTAGGAACCAAAATGCCAAAGATAAATCTCTACTGCTGAATTTCTAATGGTTGACTTTTTTCTTCCGTTGCATGGTACATGCGTCACACCACCAGCCCTACATGAAGGCTAGATGTAGATTGACGATTTGCTCCCAAATTGGATTAGCATAACCGAATCAGATCATATTTCCATTTTAATGGCCCATTTGAATGAATTTAATTACAGATTTACATCAAAAAAGAAAGACCTCTGTAAGGGAGCAATAATGATACTAGTGAGTTACCAGAATATTTTCCATCATGATTCATTCTGGAGAGGTTCCTCATGAAAAATGCCTGTGCTGATACTCTGCCGTGCACGGTGTGACAACACCACTGCTTCAATTTGTCAAAATCACAGTAAATGGGCTGTATGAAGAATGACATTCGGGTCTCATGCGGGATCAGCTCTATAGCCGTATTGTAACTAACACAGCCCTTAATGACCCAGCTTTAAAGCTTTTAACAGCTCCACTAATTAAACTATAACACCGTTTTATCACCCTCATAACACCCACAAGTATTAGTAGGATCGAAATAAACAAGCAACAAAATAAAAGAAAACATGCATTAGAAGTGCTACCAGGGAAATCAATATGCATAAAAAGCAGTCTGAGTGCAAGTATTTTCATACGCTTAGATCACTGATGTGTCTTACCTGCGGTCGGGTAATATGGGCACCCTCCAGCCCTTGATGAAGCTCAGTCTGTTGTCTGAGAGCTCCACTTTAAGGGGCAGTTTGGGCACCCAGACTGTGAGCTCAAGAGGAGCACTCAGGTGCTCATAGCTGAAAATCACCCGAGCATTCATGGAGCCACGCGTCTCTTTTCCATTCACAAACACATAGTCACAGTTCATGGACACCTGTTGAGGAGAGCAAAGAGAGATTTGATTGCTTTCACTGCATTCTCTGGAGAGGCTGCACAATACAAAAGCTCTTCACGGGCAACTGCAAGTCAGTTTGAAGTGGGGCTGTAAATTAAAACTTAAATGAATCACACATCAATATTGGCCAAGAAAAGCCACCCAAATTGATGTTGGCTCCAAAGCAGACTACTACCTAATAGTCTATGCAGCATTGCATCACCAAAATGTGGACTCGGATGGAGACTGAAAGGGCTTAGGACATTGTTTTTTTCAGCATCTCACACAATGAGCAACACACTTTTAAGATGCTATGTTATAAATGTGTTTCGAGACTAGATTCATTGCGCTACGTTCAGCTGTTTATTTTACCAAGAACGCATCCATGAACGGCTCCACAATCATTTTATAAGTGTGGTTTGCAATGCCAAGCAGCCTGTAGCACTGCATGGGTAAAGGGTTAAATGCAATATTTTTCTTTTTACCCCATGCTTCACATTATTTTTATATAATAATTGTATTAAATTAACACATTAAATTGACATGCGTATTTTATTATTATTTTTCTTTCAAACCAATTAACACTAGAAAGGGTTAAAGTGTCATTCTGATTTACTCTCAAAAGCATCAAGTAAAACATGAAAATCATGCATTTAAAAGTATTTTTAAGAGATCTTTTTACTTGCAACATGTTTCCTAAAATAACAACCCATAGGAACTGGGTCTGACAGCTTTTTTCCTGAGGCATTGTTTTTTTTCTCCCAAAGAAGCAGTTGTTATTCACTGCATTCTGTCTTCTTTTTCTAAGCACACAGACACACCAATGAACACAACACACATCTTTTTAAATCTTAAAGTTCTGGAAATTTCATTACAGCACTCAAATTTTTTTCTCTACTACTCCTTCCAGTCTGCCAACACATTTCATATGTGCACTCAGCAGTCTATAATAATAAATTATTTACTGTAATAGATAGCCAAAGCTTTGCTTTGGGGTACCATCTATGATTTATCTAGGGGTCTAAGGCAGCCGACACTGTAATCAGAGAACGTAATCTCCCTCAAATGGAGGTCGGGAGCTGCAGTCTATCCAAGACTAGAGATTCATCATAGTGGGGGATATCTGTGTAATAAAATATGTAGGCTTGCTAGACAGCTCCCCCTCTTATCCATACCATCAATATGGAGAATTGATCAGAGGAGATGGTTCTCTCTCCCCAGTAACCTTTCGGAGAATCTGTGGGAAAACTCTGCTTGCCCACTTCATTTATTTTTTAAAGGTACTGCTATTCAGTGAGAAGAAAAAAAAAACATCAATCATGCTATACAGAAAAAAACCTGACATATGGTGAAAGTGCAGAGAGGATAACAGCAGTGAGGGGGAGGTACAGAGAGCACTTGTCATGTTCAAATGAAACATTTCCTTGCTTGTCCTAAATCTAGATGTACAGAATCCGGTAACCTCATTTTTTTATAGTATAGAAGATTTTATAGTATTTTTCTTACTTTTATTTATTTTTATGCTAAAATGCTTTCTCCTATTCCATCTTAATATGTACAGTAGTACACAGATCAGTACTGCATAATAGGTCAGCCGTGTAACTCTCCAATCGATCTACACTACTACCTATCTACACAACTCAACCTGGTCCAGCGCAGTACTGCATGCCATGAGATTTTTTTAGCCCTCCACCTCCCCAGCACCGCCTGTCTAGATCTGCCATGAGGTTCTCCCTACTTTACCTTCAGCAGCAACAGCGTAGCAGATCTAGTCCGCCAAGATCAATCCTACCTACACTCTATTCTTATCAATACAATTGCTGTTAAATCAATATTGAGACTTGTCATTATTGAACTATAAGTAAATCACTATGTAGGCATCAATATATTGCTCTGTTTGCATCCCAATCAGCCAGAAAGCACAACATTGGCTCAGACAAGTTCAGTAAGTTCAGGCGGTGTGTTGGTTTGACAACTGGCAGACAGGGGGAGTGTTTGGGAAACCTGTTGTTAACAGTCATTATTTTTGCAATGCAAATTGGCATTGCTAGAGAAAATTACACCTTTACATTTCGGTCTGCTCATCACAGAAAACTATTGTATGGCTTCAAAAGATCTAAATAACAAAAAAATGGTCCTTTTGTGTTTCAAGTAAGAGAGAATAAAAATGAATGATGTGAGTATGAGATACTAGTAATACTAGTAACCCCAAATAAAATAGTCACTATTGTTACTATCAATAGGTGCAGGTGGCACACAACAAAAGCAGCAGTAGTCTGCAGTGTTGAGCATGTCCTGTCTGGTTTCCAGTGCACTCTACAGTCTCGTAAATGTGTTCCTGCTGTGCCACTTCTGTTGATGTGAGCTCAGTCTTGACCCAGATGCTCCTGGGGCGTCTAATAAACTTGGATGGATAATTTTAAGTCAAAAGCAGTTAAGGACTGTGGGCGTCACTAGCCAGCAGGGGCCAGCTGAAAGTACTTTTTACGTGCCAGCCAGCAGTCAGAGTTCCACGGAGTCACTAATCTGCCCTGGCACCTTCCGTGGTTCCAGAGGAGTGGCAGGGGCGAGGTCAGGATAGTGCCGCCCATTGAGACGCCTCCAGCTCAACACACCCGCCAGCTGTGTTTAATCCAAAAAGCACCCCCTGTAACCCTCCACCATCCAGACTGCCGTCACACAGTTAAGCAGATGCACTTTGATCTGTGTTGATGGTATCATGCAAAGGCCGACTATACATGGTTAAAGACGAACAGACTGCCTACAGCTTGAAGCAGAAGCTGATGATTTAATGTAAAATGACAGCTAGCTTCTAACAAACAGAATGTTTTCACACTTAAAATATTGGTATAAAATGGAGACTTCCAGTCCTGAACGCTTATTGGCAAATACAGCGTTCCAGCTCTGCTAAATTTAGGCAACAATGTACAAGAGGCCAAGCTATATTGTAGTCACAGTGAAAGGGTGCAAATTAGGAATGCACAATATATTGGTACAATATCAGTCATGAGTCAGTATTACAGATTTATTGGTACTGACTGATATATAAATATTTAAATATTGCTTATTTCTTGTATTTTTCATTTATACAGTATGTTTTTTTTTCTGTCAAAGCTTACCTAAAGTTAATCTTAGAAAAAATTTAATAATTTTATAACACTGTTAAATATTTAGCAAAAATTAATCTTTAGCAAATCTTAAAACATTGTGATTTCTAAATTCATTTTTAGCATTTAAAATGATTGACTTACTTTTTTGGTATTAATTTATGTAGACAAAATCATATACATTTTTTAATATTAAATTTACATTTTTATAATATTGTATAAAATGTGTATAATATTTGTATAATGCTATCATTTGTATAATAAATGATTTTTTAAAATTATTAAAATTATTTATTAAAAAATTATTAAATTACTTATCGGCTTATCTGTATTGACCAGAATTTCACAACCGGTGCGCCCCAAAGTAAAATGTTATTTTGTAAAAATTCTGCTTCATATATTTCATATGACAGTGATATGGTAAATGTGATTTGTATCAAAGTGGTTACTATGTGTAATTCATAGCACTCTTGGAATTTTGTATTGACCAATCAGTATCAAGGACCAGAACTATCCATTTCATAATATTTATGCTATAATTAACTTTGATAGCAGAAATTATTTTAACATTTTAATTTAAAAATACTCACATCATCTTTAAAGGCAGAAGATAACAAAATTACATTTGCTATTATTATACATTATACATAATATTCAGACATTGACTTCATTGTACCGGTATCAAGGTATGTGACTCATCTAATTATGGCTTCAGCGTTCTCTACATGGCTATTCATGTCTAAATTTGTTAGCTGTATTAGAAATGTGTGCAGTGAGGATTCTAGCTAAGCACTGAAATGGAATGGGAACGTGTGTTCTCAGATGGCCAGTATGACTATCAGAGCCTTGAGAGTAGAGATCAGCTGGGACAGACTGTTTACAGCTTCCTGCTCCCAAACACAAAGCCCCACAGGGTCTCATCATTCAAAACTCTCATATAATACACAGAACAATGTAGATGTTCATTACACACACACACACACACACACACAAATAACTATACCATTCAAATGTATGCAAAAATCTCAAAAGATACACCGCTGGTCATATGAGAGTGCTTTATGACTAGCCTGTATACATAACCTGTGGCAAACATGATATTAAAAGTAATTTCAATGCGTGCAGCATATAATGTCATTCTCACAGCCATGCATGTACCCATCTGTTCTGGCATCCCTATCCAGAAGTAAAAGCTTCGGCTCTAGGCGAATAAGCCCTGTTACAATAGATACTCATGACTACCTTTTGAATAAGATAAGCAAAAAAGATGTTACTGGGCCCTGTAACCTTTGCCTTCTGTATGACGCTTTTTTTCGCCACTGCACAGAGCGTTTTATTGAACTGTCAGGACTCATGTTGTCTCAGCTTGAAGGGCTCATCTTGAATTAGCCTCCAAAGTTCAATGGCCCGGGCGGCCAAGCAAACCCACTCAATAACACCAGAGCTAATGATCTGCCCAGGCACTGAGGCACACACGGCTATTCTGAATCTTAAAACAGAGAAATAACAAATGCCCTCACAGCCCATCTCGGATGACTTATGGATCTCAATCTTGCCGGACAGATGACACTCCGAGGCATATTATTATTTCGCTACATTTTGGATACGGTTTATAGTTGAATTGGTTTTCTACTTTTAATTTCTGTCGTGCCATGGAACAGATGGCAAAGATTGTTGAAATGACTGTTTCCTTCAGCAAAGGACACTGCAATATTTTCGGGCCTGTATTTATAAGCCCTCAGGTGGAACCAACTGCCCCTTGTGTAAATACAGAGAAATAAATTCATTCATTGACAAAAATACATAAGCTTAGCCATTGAATTGAGATGGAATTTAGTCGAAGACACAGAATTTAATTTTAAAGCAGCAGTTTTTAACTTTGTTGATCTGATGGCCCTTCATTGTCTAACACAATTTTCAAAGATGTAAGATATTTCCACTAGTAGTCTTTTTTTATTAGTAGTATTTTATTTTTCAAAGTCATACTAATACACATACATTTTAAGAATTTGTAGGCATTCAAAAAACCTATAATTTATTTATTTTTTATGTATTTTTAATCATTTTCATTAAGTTAGATTATAATTATTATTAACAGCGTTGGGAGTAACAGTACAGGTAAAGCAAGTTACATAATCAGAGTACTTTTTTTCAAGTAACTAGTAAAGTAACACATTACTTGTAAATGTACAAGAAAATATCTGAGTTACTTTTTCAAATAAGTAATGCAAGTTGTTTTGCTTTCCCATTTACTCACTGACACCTCTCCTGTCCCCATGTTGAGAGAAATTGGGAGAGAGGTGCAGAGGGACTTCCTTCAGGCTGAGGCTTATTAATTTTGTTTTGGTGTGAAAGGGCCTTTACAGTTGCCAAAAATATGGCTTTTGGGTTTTTTGCTATTAAAAACAAATAAGCAAGCCCAGCTCAGGTGACAAAAAGTAACGCAAAAGTAACGTAATGCATTACTTTTCTTAAAAAGTAATGTAAATAGTTAAATTTTTATGGAGTAGTGCAATATTGTAATGCATTTCTTTTGAAAATAACTTTCCTCAACACTGATTATTAATAATAATATTAATATAAATCATATTAATAATAATATATTCAAATCAGTTTAAGTTGTCCTACAGCCCCCTTGGAAGGTCCCACAGGAACAGTTCACACAAAATATCTAGATTTTGAGTTAACAGCTTACTGGAAGTAATGAATATTACTTAATAATCTGGATTTAGAGGCCTTATGGTGCTTCATGTTTGGACTTTAAATGACATGATAATTGTCACAGTATGGAAAACAGCTGCATGAAAAAATAATTTTTTCCTTTCAAATTTTTCCTTTCTATACATCTATAAAAATAAATACAAGTTCAAAATGACTTTAGGGTAAAGATGTATCATTTTAGTTTATAAAAAGGGCTTTGGTGCACTGCTTTATAGGAGACTCTTCATTTAAGAGGCATTAAACACAAGTCAAGTGTGTGGCCTCTGCTGCTATTCAGTGGGAAACGCTGCTCTGCAGAGCACTGAACCCTTCTGATGTACTGTCTGAGACTGAAAAGGCATCGATCCCTCGAGGGGATCACAAAAGTAGTGTCTACAGGAGCATATATAAACTCCACTTAAATGAGGTTTTGATGGTCATTTTATGGTCTCTTAAGTTGACCGCGATTGATTATGAGAATAGTAGAGGAAGTCCTAGATCACTAAACCTCTCAACGTGGGCGTGACGTACCTTGACAATGTCCTCATTGAATGACTTGCACTGCACAAAGGATGACACATCAGTGACTGCTCCGTTCAGCTCTATGGAAACCACCTTGACAGGGATGGCCACAGTTCGGCCAGTAAGAACTGCCGTGTTGATAATCTCAGTGTCCTGGATATGGAAGAAAGAAAGAGGGAGAATGAGAGAGAGCATGAGTCAGGAGGTTAGTAGAAGTTCACCGTTCCAAAGACCTGAATGTTCAGGAAAGCCCTGGAGTCAGGGCTAAACTGCTTAATAAAGTGTAAAAACAGTATCTATATTAAAGGGGTCATATGATGCGATTTCAAGTTTTCCTTTCTCTTTGGAGTGTTACAAGCTGAGCCATGAGCTTTCCTCTCTCTCAAAAAATGTCAGAGCAATATAAATTCTGGTTGACTGGTTTTAGAACTCATTCAGACACCTGAAATTAGAAGCGTTCACAACGCAGGAATGCGTCCCTTCAGATTTTCCAATGCAAATTCTTCAAAATGTGTATTTTTGAGAATTACATTGCATAATTTTTCTATAATAGTACAATACTGTAGAATAAATTACTGAAATGCAGTCACTCTCTGTAAACAAAATAGTCTGAAAAGGTTTTCATGACATGAACGTTCATCACATAAAAACTTTCAAACAAAAAATACCCACAAATCTCCTTAAATTGCCACATACAGATGCCAATGCTTGGTACATGAATCATAACAATGGCTACAACTAACAATGATTATTTGAGAAAAGGAACAAATTCATTCTGACATCACAAGACAACTCAAGTTACTACTTGTGACACCATCATCAACAATAACAATGTAGATAAAACGGGCAAACAGTCAAACAATGCAACCATATTCATTATTTATGCCTCAGTGCATGTTGGGAAGAGAGCAAATAGGGTTGATCCACAAAACCAGTGCAGGCTGATTTGAACTCAAATGTTGTGCTTATTTGGAGTTAAAAAAAATAATGAAAGAGCATATCAATAGAGCATTGAGATGTTTTTTTTTTTTCCTTTTCGGGAAAGTCCGCTAAAAATCAATAATACGTTTTTTTTTTTTTTTAAATATTGTTTTCTTAATCTAACATGACTTTAGCATTTCATTTGATTTAAACTGACATTGTAAGTTGGTTAAGAATTAATGAGCTGAATTACTAAATTTAATTAAAATAAATGGCAAGAGCATTTTTAGTGTTTTCATAAGAGGAAAGCACTATTATTATACTGGAAAATTACAATAGCTGTAAAGCATTTAAATATCTTATCTGGAATAAATGCTTGTGACGAGTGGGGCCGGGGCCGAGAGCCGTGGGAATGGAGCGAGGCCGGTGGAGTAATTGATAATGAGCGACACCTGCACCACTCACCGGTCTCGAGTCCCACGGAGGAGCTCCGGAAGGATAAAAGGAGGAGTGACGACAGTGAAAGACGAGAGAGGACCAGGCCTGGACTTTATTTTGTGTTTTGTGTGCGGCAGTCGTCCGCGAGGGGCTGCCGCTTTACTTTCATTTTGTGTTTGTTTTATTAGTAAAGTATTTAAAGGTTCGCCGGTTCCCGTCTCCTTCTTACCGACCTACGAACGTTTGTTACAATGCTTAACAGAACATAGATCTTAATCAGAAAGTAAAAGAATAATACATGCTGTAAAATATATGAAGCTTGAAGAATAGGATGTACCTGTTCAAAACAGTCATTTGTGACAAACTTAAATGGGATTGAGATTCTCATTCACTTTGTATAAATCCTATTGGGCTATAGCAGTCATAGTACTTCACGGTAATGGACTAACTTTTAAAATACTCTGTCCTGAGCTTGCCAATTTAAAAGTTTCCCTGTTAGATGACACATGCAAATAAATCTATGCTTTCAATTACACCTCAAAAGCTGAAGCCAATTAAAGAGCACATTGGCTTCACAATTGCTTTCCAAGAAAAATCAATTCATTATTTTGGATAGAATTGCTGCAGGGATGTTGCACAACTAACTGTAAATTATTTCCCTTGTGGCCGACAGGAATAAAGCAAAGATTATGCAGCTCTCTCTCCATTCTCTCTCTCCCTCATGTTTCAATCAAAACAGCATATTTGAGGAGAAACTTTCCACCGAGCCCCATTGCTTTTAAACAGGCATTTAAAACAGTATAAATAAAAGCATGCATGTATGAATGAGAAAGCCAAATTCTTATTTGAACTGGTTTTCAATCAACATCACTTGAATGTTTTTATGTCTAAAGTGCCCTTTTAGGTTGTCAGGGTTGAAAATAATGTATTCCACATAAAATGGCTTGACTCTTCATTTGGAAAAACTTATTTTCTTATCTTTTTGCTTTGCCAGACTAAATTGCTTTAAAGTCCAAACCAGGTGCATCATTTTTGTCCACAGTGAATGAAGAAGAAAGATGACCAGGGTTCCTGATGCTGCAGGGAGGCATGAGGACTGCAGATGTGGCCTGAGCAATAAACTGCAATGTCTGTAATGTAAGACGCCTAAGACAGAGCTACAGGAAGACAGGAAGGACAGCTGATTGTCTTTGAAGTGGCAAACCACATGTTACCATGTGTTCCGTTCCTCCAAACATGTTCAAGAACTTGCAAGTGCTTTGGTGGAAGACTGTGGAAACATCTCATAGCAATAAATGGCAAATCTGGTTCAGTCGATGACGATGAGATGCACTGTACTTAAAGCAGCTGGGGGATACACATACTCACTGTGACTTTGGATATTGACTTGTTCAGGGAATCATTATTCAATTTCTGTCTGCCAAATATCTGTTAATACCACTAATAATACAAAAATTCAGGGCCATAGATGGGGTATGCGGTGCCATAGCTGGCTAACAATGCTTTTGGGAAATGCAGGGTGTTTTGCTGCCTATGGTCGGAGACACTGGGATGGGTTCCAGCATCCCCACTTGTCCTTCATATAAAATGGATGGATGCAATAACTACGTGGAGTGGTGGGGTGACCCAGTGTGACACAAAAGAAATAGTAGTGCCAAAATATCTTATTGAGGTTGTCCTTGTTACTACTGGTTTGGACAAAAACCTAGATTTGCATGCAAAGGTTCACACTGACAGTGATTTGCAGCAACAAAGCAGCTGAAGTCATTTATTTTCAATGAGAGTTGGGGATCAAGTGAGTATATATAGTCAGTGTTAGGCAGTAACAGATTACATCTGGATTATGCAATCAGATTCCAAATTTTTTTAAAATTATATATACAGTATATATATATATATATATATATATATATATATAGGGATGTGCATCTCTATAACTGAGGCCAATGTGATACACATCTCGATGCATAGCCAACGACACAATACATTAAAGATACATATAAAGCAGATACCGATGCGATGAGATACGATTTTTCCCCTATTACGATGCAGCGCGATCCGATTCGATTCAACACAATGCGATTCAATGCAATGCAATGGAAAAAAATATGATGCTCAGACAGACATTCATGTTAATCTATATTCTATGTAACTCTCAGAACATCTGGATCTCTGATGTGTTGTGATTCATCATATTCACGTAGCAGCAGTGGTGATGAGAGAACACGCTTGAGAAACAGTTGAGAAGAAATCAATCTACATATAAAATATTGGTCACAAATTATTAATCACTTTCTAAATAATAAAAGTATAGCGCATCTTACAATAATTATTTATAAATAAAAAATTTTTTATCAATGCAAATATGTTAGAAATGATGCATCGCTATACAAATGCCAATTTGTATCCGATGCACACTTTTTTAAATCGATGCATTGTATCATTAACTTTTATGCTGATGCGAATCGGAATGATTTTTAATAGTTTTATTTTTCGTTAACAATAACAACTACAGTTGAATGGCACAATAGGATTTAACACTTTTCACATTATTGCATTACACATTGTACTGCAGTCTTTTTATTTCATTGAAAAGCACATACTTTTTGTCACAATCAGCTACTGTGAGGAGCGAGGAGCGAGGAACGCGGAACGAGGAGACGCAGGAGAATTCACAGTAAACACAGTCTTTAATCCTTCCAACACGGGGTACACAGGGCAGACAGGAACACACGTAGCACAAGACGTTCACATTCAATACCGGACAAGGGAGACTAGCACAGAATAGAACTTAAAAAGGGCAGCTAACGAGGGGCAGACAGGTGAGGAGGATGAACTAATAATGAGACACACCTGGAAACAATGAACACACAATGGGTACAGGAACCGGAAAAAACAAATATGGACATGTCACACACGAGGGAAAACCCACACAGACAGTCCATATTCGTGACACTTTTCCTCTTTATTCTCATTTTTTTTTAGCATGATAGAGGTCGTAAATGTTGGACTTGCAAATAACATCTGAATCAGGTTCTCTTTAATATCTCCCCACTGAGCAAATGAGTGATTAGCTCAGAATTACTCTGATAGCCTTAGCTGAAACTGCATAATCATAATTTTAATTCAAAGTGCATTACTGGCCGGCCTGCCTTGTTTAAATGGAAGTCCTGGGTACTTGCACTAAGAAATAAAATTCATTACAGGCTTCTGCAAAGACTTTTCATCCTGCAGCCGACTGACTCAATTCTTTGCCTGACATCTCATTTTTATGCAAGGTAAACTTTAAAGGTCAACAGCATCCACCCATTGAAATTATTTAAAGCAGCACTATGTAACTTTTTCTGTGTTCAAAATCTGCAAAATGTATATAATGAGCGAGTACATCATGAATTCATCTTCCAAACCGCGTTTTTGTCTTATTCCGAATCACTACGGTATTCTTATAATAAGTACTTATATTTGGACTATTGTAGCCTGGTCGGGTCGTCACTGCTGCGGAGTAACACATACCTGCGTGAATCGCCACAGACATAAACTTAGAGAAGTAGCTCCGATTGAAATGTTCTTTCGCGGGATGTGTGCAGTTCTGTTTATTAACCGCTAGAGCGCCAAAAGTTACATAGTGCTGCTTTAATTCATATGATTCATGTTTGGAAAAAAGCCTATTGTGCTGGTGTTGCCTACCACTGTTATTTCCTCCCCTCTAAACAAAAACCTAAACAGATGGTCATGGACACACAGGAATCTCAGCAAAGTAAGCTGATTCAAATCCAGGTTTATTTTCGGCAAAT